TTATTTTCTCTCACTCTTACATAACTGGGAATATAAGAGAGAGAGAGAGAGAGAGAGTAGAAGAGTGAGAGTGAAATTGAAAAGAATCGGTGATATGCAAACCCACACCACTTGTTTTTGTTAATGGCTTTTCTCTCAGTACACAACACTATAATCTAGTGATAAGGGTTGGGTCCCCCCATCCCTATATAAAATTGTTACCACACTCTTACTAACAGACACTACATTGCATGACAGTCTCGCTGCCGGACAGTCCCTCATCGACACCACTTCAATACTACCACAACAATTGTGGCATTAGATTGAATTCATTGTGCTTTTATATACAAAGTTTGTGTAAATTATATATTAAATACAAATATGAAGTGTTTTTTGGTAAGAATTTTGTTTATAATAATAATAATAATATTATTACGGATAATGTTTTAATAGATAATAGGACCAGAATTCTGTCTAAAAATTACTAACATTTATTGCGATAAAATAGACAAATATTAACAACTTTTAAGTCTAATAATGATAAAAATAATGTATGGCTTATATAAATATTTCGATATAAACTAATATAAAACTTGATTCTGTGCGGAAACTGTACGGCCTGGCGGGTACAGGTGCTTAGTTTGGCAGTAGTGGTGTTTGGCCATGGTCATCTCACAAGCAAGAGTAAAATCAGCGAGATTGAATTGGATACGGCAGAGACGGGTTACGCACCCGTAGCTCTCTATGACGACCACGGATTAGCCGCTTATGGCAAGAAAGCCGAGGATTACAGTAGCTATGGTCACAACAACAAAGGTATGCATATTTTTACTATACTATTATATAACAAGTCTTATATAACTTATCCTTTAAGAGGATTAACATTCATTACTTATTATTCAATACATTTTATTATGAATTTTGTTATAAGAATTTTAATTCAGCAAAATTTTAATGATAAAAGTTTTGATGTATTAATAAGTTTTATGCATAAATATTAGTGATTATAAGTAGAAATCTTTGATGGTTACTTGCAATAATTAGCATGTTGCTTAATAAATGAGTTATTTACTCATTAAATTTGTTAATTTTAGTTATATTTATTAATATCTATATTCAGTTTTATGAATATTAATTTATTTTCAAAATAATTGCCTATAAAACTTTTTACGCTTAATTAATTAAATGTTTAATTAAAAAGTAGTTATTAAAACAAACAAAATTTCGTTAGTGTCTATGGATTAGTTATACAGTATAATTACTTTTGGATCATATGAGTTTTTCGTACAATTTTGCAGTTATAGTAATTTATTTATAGAAATCCGAATTAATATTAATTTTATATTATTTATAAGATTTTCAGTAAGAATTATTTTTAATAAATTTATCTAATATAACATAAATACCAAATAATTTGTGCATCTAATTAATAATTATAAAATCGCTGAAAGTAAAAGTACAGTGAATTTCACTCGCTATAGATCTAATCTCATGTATTATATAAAAAAGTAATTAGTTTTTAAACTTTTCAATCTTATTGTCTTATAAACAGATGAACAGATTATTTAACGATAAGTTATCATTATTTATATATAAAATGTATAGAAATATAATAATTAATTGTCTGTAAAAAAACTCAGTGATGGGGCAGAAGAATAGCCGGAATACAATATAAATATAATACACACAAAAAGCATTTCGGTTGCGATTATTATGAGATTAATTTCACTTTTGATTTTTCCGCTTGAATTAAGGCTATAAAGACTATTACGGAGATAATGGATACGGAGCTCATGGTATGTATGTGTGCTGTGCGGCCAATGGCATGGATTACACACTAATATTATACACAATTGAATATCTAATAAGAAATTAATTGTAATAGATGATTATTATAATATAATAATGATGATTTTTTGTGTTGTGTGGGTGATTTTGATTTCAAGGCCTGAACAAGTACTCCGATTATCACGACTCCGACCACTACGGCTCTAAGGCTGGCTCTCAGGGCCACAACTATGGCCAGGGATTGTGGCAACGAAACCGTGGCTATGGCTACGAAAAGCATTATGTAATACATTAAACAATTAATTATGCAATAATTCGCACAATAATTATAAAACTTTTAAAACACTTTTTCCTTACAACAAATCAACACAACTATTGGACAACTCGTTCACAATGAAGGCCTACGACAAAGAGCTGTCGACCAATAAACACGGCGGCGCTCACAACGACCATAAGGCCGAGTACGGGGCGCACGACCACTCGGGTCTGGACAAAGTGAACGCCTACGACAAGTACAACCATAACAAGTACGCGGGACACGCCGGCCACGAGGCCGACGATTACGGCAAATACGGACATTTGGCCGACGCGTACGGCAAGAAAAACTACGCCCACTCGTCCCATACGCAAGCGGTGCCCACATATCACGCCCCACCGCCGCCCCGACCCACCTATCACTCGGCGCCCGCGCCGCCCGTCTACGTGGCCGCTCAACCGGCGCCCGCCCCTCATCTATATCACGCACAGCCACCGCAAGCGGCCATCACTACCGTATATCACACCAAATCCGTACCTCACTATCAGCCAGCGCTGCCGCCCCCACCCCCGGCCGCCTACCAGACCATCGGCGACGCCTACAGCACAGGCCATGGAATCACTTATTATTAGAGCGAGTTTGAAATGATTGCCAAAAACCATATTCAAAATTATAAGACATATATTTTGTTTGATATATAAGTTAAGGAAAAATTCATGTGAAAAATACATAAATCTTTTACGATATGAATGTCATTATTATTGTAACGAAACCAACGCTTCATTTATTTTATTTTATAAGACTTTTATAAGACTTTTTTCCTGTAATTTATTCACTATTTTTTCTCGTTATTCTGAGTGAGAAATGCAAATAAAAAATGCAAAATTTATTACATAATTGTCTTTTTAATGCTGTAATTATATATTCATGAAATTTTCTTTCTCTCTGTCTTTCTCGACAATTATCTGTAATTTTTTTAATGCTTCAAAATTTTGATATTTCATAATCGCTAATGAATTATAACTACTCTTTTTGTTTGCTTTTTGTATTATAATTGCAATTAATTTTTTCATGACAGATATTTGTCTAATTTACTAATATTTTACTATTATATCACTTAATATTATTGTTTTGCTGGAATTCATAACCAATTTTAATTTTTTTAGTTAAAACTTATATATATTTTACTTAATTTAAAATATTATTGACATTATATTTTCAATATACCATTTATTTGATTGTTTTATTTGTTATAGTATTTAATTAATATTGAAAACTGTAGATCACAATTGTGCCAGAATTTAATGCCTATTTCAATCACAAAATAATAATTTTTTTATTGTTAACTCAAATACATACTAATTAATGATTAAAAAATGTTTTGTTTTATTATAAGTGTATTTTATTTAGAAAATAATTTAAAAGTTTTTGTTACAAATGATTATTATTTGTTTTTCGAAACATAATCTCATAGAAAACTGAATTATCCGATAATTTAAGTGTATTTAACATTGAATTAAATTCCTTGTGATGAGTGATAACTGTCTTATGAATGGACCACTCGTTACATTTGGCCAACACTTGCCGACACTCAGGTCTTTGTCGCCAATTGGGTGTTGACATCATTGCCACGAGTGTCCGATACATACATAATGTGGATGTTTTCAAAACAGAATTCTTGGCTGTAAATGATTGCGATCTATAAATATATACAAAATATACACATAAAAAACAATGTTAATATTTTAATAAAATACTTACGCCTGAAGATTGATACCAAACAACTCTTCGCCGATAATACAAAGACTATAAATGTCTGATTTATGATTATATTCTCTGCAATGAATGACTTCGGGAGACATATACTTAATAGTGCCCACACCTGATGTATGGCCGTATCGGCTGGCAGTGTGTCTATCGGTGTCGTGATCGGTGGCTAAACCAAAGTCACACAATTTCACGAACCGATTTGACGTGAAATTTAAATCAATTAAAATGTTGTCGGGTTTGAGATCCCGATGAATGACTGGTGGAACCGATTCATGAAGATATTGGACACTCTCTAAAATTTCTTTAAATATCTCACATGAAATAAAATACTCAAAGAGATTGATTTGGTCTTCTTGTTGTTTCTCAAAGACAATGTGTTTATCCTTTAGAAGTGAACGCAGGCTTTGCGAACAGAACTCCATCTGAATATAGAGATGATTGGACTCAAGCCATGAGTAGTAATATTTGACCACAAAATCTGAGTGCAGTTTTGCCAAACTTTTTACTTCTTTGAAAATTTTTTGTTTCTTTTCTTCACTAAAATCTATGCAAATATATTATTTTTATTTACATATTATTAATAAATTAAAAATAGTTATAATATTTACCCCCGAATTGTACTTTTTTAACGGCATATATCTTATTATCCAATCTATGCTTTACTTTAAATACAGTCCCAAAACCACCCGAACCTATGGCTGACATCTCAATGAATTGAGATTTATAATTCCCATCATTTGTTAGCTCTGTATTAATAGTTTGCTTGAAACTGTTTAATTGATTTAAATTTCACGTCAAATCGGTTCGTGAAATTGTGTGACTTTGGTTTAGCCACCGATCACGACACCGATAGACACACTGCCACCCGAACCTATGGCTGACATCTCAATGAATAGTTGTTTCCAAATACTATCACTTGAATTATAAGTTATATAATAATTTTTGCTTTTAATATTAATTTTACTTTTAAAATCAACTTTAATTTCATTAACATTTTGTATTATTTTCTTTTCCCGATTTATTTGTAGTAAAACAATTGTATTATAAGTTAATTGGCATTCATGTGCGTAAAAGTCATTGAAATCTATATAGTTTGTTTCATATATTTGTTGTTCATTTGATATTTTAAATATTTTATCATTAATTAAAACACAAATAAATTCATTATTATTATAATTAATCCACGAATTGATTTGTTGTAATCCTTGTAAACGATATTCTTGTAGTATTTGTTTTGGATCTTTAACAAACAATGTTTTAGTATAATTATAGCCATAAAAGTATAAGCAATTTGCAGTTGTATAAAAATATGTGTAATAATTATTAAAACTAATTGTTTTCACATCACTTATGGTTAGTATTAATAAGGGTTTCGATACTTTATCATCGGTTATATTGTGTCCCAATCTATTGTTACTATTGTCTCCCCAACTGAACACATGTCCATCGGTTGTGATTGCAAATGAAGAGTAATTATAACAATATATGGATTGTATCTTATAATTATCATTGAATTCTATCTCAATAGGTATGCGATTACATTGACACACATCCCAACCCCAGGCATACACCCGGCCATCACCGGTGAGGGCCAGTGTGTGATATGAACCACAACTGATTTGTATAATATTTATATTATTAAAAAATGAAATAATATCTGGTTTTACCCAACAATGTTCGTACGAATTACCCTGGGCCAATTGTCCGTAATAATTATTTCCAAAACCATATATCCTATTTATATAATTCACTGCTAACATAAAATTCACTCCATTTGCAAAGTATTGTATGTTTTGATGACATAATTGTGGTATTATTTCTGGTGATGGTATGGGTCTGTTGTGTCCAAATCCCAGACATCCAAAACTATTATCTCCAAATCCATAGACCATATCATCGGATGTGACATATAATACATTACTTTTATCAAAATAGCCTTTAAAAACATGCAATATTTTAATATTTTCTCTATCAACGGTCCAAATTTTATCACAAATTGTAAACTTCTCTAATAATTCACACATTTTAACACAATTTGTTAATAACAAAAAAGTTATACTATTTTAAATAAATAATTATTATATTTTTAATATATAAATAATTACAAATAAATAATAATTTGAATTAAATTTGTTATATTTAAATGTATTTAAAATTATATTTAAATGTTTAATAAATTATTCATTTATGTAAAACTTTATAAAAATTCTTTATTAAACTAAATTTCCACATCGTTAGTAACCCTTCAAAACAGTTATTGATAACAATTATACCATTGATATCGTAATATTGGAGCATTCAAATGTTAGGAATTGGTTAATTATGAACTAGTTATGGTTAGATAAGTATGCTTTTTAATACAAAACACTGTATTTGTACCGTATTTGCATAAGTAGATACATTGTTTTGTATTAAAAAGCATACTTATCTAACTTTGGCGTAGTTTATATTTCACTTCTATGAAATATTTGCTTAAACTCCTGGAATTCAAAAACACAATTTTTAAACATTTTAATTTACTAAACACTAAATTATCATTAATTAAATCACTAACACATTGATCACTATTTATAACATGTGCACTTGACTCGAGCGGCATCGCCATACATCACTTACAGTCTTGTTAGAAGTGGTCGAAGGCATTGAAACACTATTATTATGATTACGATTACTATTAGTTATAACTGTGTGTGTATTGGAGTCATAGGAATCCATACAATTATTAATTAAAACATTGATTTACTGTTAGTTTGAATAAATGAATCAATTGTTATAATTAAGTCACAAAAATGTATATCGATGTATAAAAAGTGTATGCCATACTCCAATATTACGATACCAATGGTAGTGTTATCTAATTAATAAAGATATAAACTTCATGTGAAAGTATTTCATGCATTATATGATAATAACTATAGTTTTTAACTACAATTAACAGTTGAAAAATGTGTTTATTGTTGTAATAATATATCAAAAATTTTTAAAGAGTTGTAATGTTTAGCAATCAATTTTTATAGTTTGTATTCATTGAGAGCCAAATGGTTTTACCGTTCAAACATGTAGTAAAGATATAACCGGATATTATAAATACAAATATAAATACAATGTTAAAAGTAATTTATTATACTCTATAATATGTATTTATAGTATATCATTACATTAATAAGAATGTTTTAGTAAAAAATATAAAACTAATTAAACAATGTGTTAAGGAATGAAATACGTTCAAAAAGCCACATATTTAGTGATCTATTTAATTTTATTTTTGAGCCCAAAATCATCGAAAAACATATATTTATTTTATTATAAACGCAAAACTAATGCAATTATGATTCACGAAAAACCTTTAATTGATTGCCTCTTAGATTAGTCGCCGAGAAAAATAAGACAACAATTATATTCTGGTCTCGACATTGAAAACTCAATAATTAGACCAAAACTAATTCACTGCACATTACTATAGAGGAGCAGAATATTTTTATATTCATAAATGTGATCGATTTAAAAGTTGTAAACATTTATATAGTGTACAAAAGTATTTATTAAATCATACACTATACTGTAAAACCACTATCATAATTATTGCATAATGTGCGATGATTTTTGAACTTATTTTCTCCCATTAGATCAATGTTATGCTTATGGATATTACAAAAACAAAACATAATATAATGTGTGTACATAATTATCATCTTAATTTTATTATGATATTGTTTTGAATACAAGCCCTCAACCATAATGCTATTAATAGCGCATTGGCCTTCAATTAACGCCTAAAATGCATTATAAATATTATATAACAATTAAATAATTAAGAAATACAGTACTAATAGATATGTTAATAATGCGATGATTTAATGTATAAATAACATTGTTTAATTATTATTTTTTGTATTGTAAGTGTTAGCCAATGTACAAATGTACTATACTGTAGTATATTTGTAATTATCAGTGCAAAGGTGTAATACTTGTAGTATTGCAATTGTGTAATGTAAATTTGTTAATTTGTTAATTATATTTTGTGAGACATCAGTAGTTTTATTAATAATTTTTTAATTATAGTCAAACTTTATTATGTAATGACAATAAATGGTTTTTTGTATTTTGTTGATAAAGTAGTCAATACGGTTTTGCTACTCAAAATTTGAATACAAAAGTTTTTTATTTTTGTTTATATTGTAAATGCTTTTAAATAATCTTAAATTTAATTTACATTTAGAAATTAAGAATGATTGTACAATAATTTATAAAGATCTAAATAATCTTGATAATAATTATTCTCGTTAATAATTTATCACTTTTCATATTTATTATAATAATGATTATCATTTTACACAAAAATATAAATAAATTATTATATGGGTTACAAATTGAATACAATTACAAATACAAATTGAGTTTATCTGAACCTAAAATAGCTAGATCATGGAAAGTTTGCTTAAATATAATACAAAGTAACTTATCAAATTAATATGTTAATAAAGCAATTTACAACTATTGCACTTGGTGAGTTAAATACCCCTAAAATTACAATTAACACTCAATATTTGTCAATCCTTTTATATTTATGCGAAACATTACTTGACTATTGACTTCGTTTCACAATAATGTTTAAAACGATTAACAAAATCGTTTAAATTGCATAACAGACTACTCTTCAGGAAATTGTAAACAATTTGTGAACAATTATCACATTGTATTGAGAAATACGCTGTTTTGCACATTATTGGTAAATATTATGGTAAAACAATGAGATAAGATAAAGTAATTGTTAATTATATATCAATAGATGCCTATCTTATCTATAAGGTATATCAAACCGGTGATAATATTGTGCAAAAATAGCTGTGAATTACTTATAATACCATATTGTGTGTAAAAATATGTAATTATAATGTCATCGATCGATAGTATAAATTTCGTTATTGCCCATAAATGCCCTTAATTAAACACAAATTAATTATAATACACCATAATGCATCATATTATGAGAACATGCAGTATAAATGAGATTTTAATTAACTATATGAGATGATATTTTTTCATATTTAATAAAATGTTTACTTATAACATTAACGTTAATGTATAACCAATTTAAGTGATGCACAGAAATTGTAATTCAAACCCTATTGAGAATCAAATCTGGATTTTTTAATTCAATAGAAAGTTTGCAAAGAGTTTCCAGGAAATGGTATTTTCTAATTATACAGTGTGTCCGCACAATTACGCCACCATTGAAATTTGATAATCACTCCCACGTCAACAATATATTCAATTTGGTTTTGGTTAAAATGTTTGGCTATTGATGTTTGCATTAAAAATTAACCATATTGAATAAAAATTATAACTTTTTAATATTACTAAAATTACCGGTTTGAAGTATTGATAGATTCAAAAACATGGGTTTTACACCAATATAATATATTATACAGCTATAACATACTGGAATACAGTGTAACCTATCTATCAACGACACAAATTGTCCTAGCTAATAATCAGCATCAAATTAGTATAAGTGTTTGATATAAGTGCGAGTATACCCGGAAGATTCTATGGTCCACACAATTATACAACCTTATATACAGATACAGCTCACAAATGGCTAATACTTATGTAACTTAATAAGACATGAGATAAATACATGATATGTTATTGTGAAAATAAGTTCAAAAACGTGTTGCACTCGACAAATGTGTGATTGAATTACCTTTATGTAATATATATATTTTTATAAATTAATCTATATAATACGATTATTTCATTAAATT